GCTTCTGTCAGTGAGCCCCAGGGCAGCTGTGGCTAAAATGTAGCTTGCCACCATCAGTGTGTGCGTGAATGGGTGAATGAATGTAGTGTAAAGCGCTTTGGTCAAGTCTCCTAACTTGAATAAAGACGCTATATAAGTACATGCCATTTACCATCTTAACTTTTGATCTCAGTCAGTGTGATAGTGGGAAGTGGCATTGCTCTGAAAACTCCTGCCCATCCAGATGTCTCATTGAAGGACAGTTTGTGACAACATTTGATGGCAAACAGTATGCGGTTCCTGGTAAATGCACATACATGGCATCGCAGGTAAGGGTTTTTCCCAATGGTTCTTAGTATTCAGGGTTTATTGGATTATTAACCTAAAAACAAAAACTTCTCTGGCTCCATTGCAGGACTCCAACTGGTCTATTGAAATTGAGTTTTCTAAAACTCGACCATCATTGAAGGCAGTACGTGTACAGATTTTACAGGTATGGCTAAAGTGAGGCAAATGTCTTCAGAAAACAGTAAAAAAAACAAGGGCAATGTCAAATTGTAAATAATTCTTAATCAAACTGAATTCTTTACTTCCTACATTTTCAGGAAATATTTACGTTCACACTAAGCAAGGTCACAGTTGGAGACCAAGAGATTACTGAGCTCTACCAATCTGGTATGACATATGCCAACTGACCTTTTAATGCACCCAAAGTAATTTGAGAAAATCACAATTACATTTCTTGCTAATCTCTTTTTACAGATCTAGCACTGATTTTCTGGCAGTCCTCAATGTATGTAGAAGTAAGTACAACCGTTGGTGTAGCGCTTGGAGTCCAGGTGTTTCCTGAGCTCCAGCTGTCAATCACACCCACAAAGACTACTGGCCAGATCTCAGGTAAGGAGAAAACAGACTCTGAACAAATGGGCATTTCTGCAATCACAGTAGTTTCCATAAATGTATGTTTTATTTTTTATTATATTTACTAACTATAATGTTAAGGTACAGTATTTTTGTAAGCATGTCACCCAGGTGGTTTTGCAGTTAAAGTCAGGCTTTCTTTTAGGTCTTTGTGGAAACAGGAACAATGATACCACAGATGACTTCACTACCAGCAGCGGGATCATCGAGAGCTCCGCCAAGCTATTTGCTCTATCCTGGAGTTTAGGATATTGTTCAGGGGATATCCCAAACGTTTGCATCAATACTGACAATGGTAACAACTGCTTTAAACCTATAATGGATACATAAATCAATGCAATGTCATGATATCTACATTTCCTTCATCAATACATCTCTGTCTCTCTTATGAGGACAGTTGATGGGGACACATATTGTAAACATCAGGACCTTAATTAGCAGATGGGAGCCAGTGCATTAGCTCAATTACAACAATGACACTCCCAGCAAAACAATTCAATTATATCACAAGAAATACAATGTATTTCTGTTTCTAAAATGTCTAAAACAGAAATAATTCCAATCTTGTATTAGTGACTCCATTGCACTATATACAGTACTGTGAGAACATGTTCTCATCATAATACTTTGGACCTTGTGCTGACATATGGCATTAAATGTGAAGAAATAACAGTATTTCCTCACAACCCTGACCTCACTGTCCCATTTTTAGTAACCTTCAGGTTTACTTTAACAGAGTTCTCCATCTCCAAAAAAAGTTTCACTTTAGCAGATCATTATCAGATAGTGCAGTTATAGACTTTAAGGAATCTTTTTCCCTTTCTCTCTCCTCTGTGTCGCTGAGCAATGCTGCAGGGGGCAAAAGTTTAGTTTATTCCCCTTCACAGGTTGATGATTTTGATGATGGGGTTGCTAGTTCTCTGCGTACAGCCTGAGACAACGCAGCTCCTTTGAAAAAGAAAAAACTTTAAAAATAGGAAGCTAGTTCCCTGGTTTAATACAGAGCTGCACACTCTCAAGCACAATGCTAGGAAACTGGAGAGGAAATGGTGCTCCACATGCCTACGGGGATCCTACCTAGTCTGGAGAATAGTTTACTGTTGTATACGAGGACCCTTCATAGAGCAAGAGTAGCATATTTCTCCTCATTGATAGAGGAGAAAAAGAGTAATCCTAGATATCTTTTTAATACAGTTGCCAAACTCACCCAGAGCCATAGCTCTGTTGAACCTTGCAATCCACTTGCTCTTAGCAGTAATGATTTTATGGGATTCTTGATAAATAAGTCTGATCTTAATAAAAATAAGATCATTAGGACTCCTCTAACTACGATTGGTTTATCTCTGGGTTTGAGGCAGCATCTGAGGTAGCCATAGAATCTGAACCGGGTTAAGACTGCTTTGATCCAGTTGAACTTCTGGAGTTAGCAAAAGTATCATCTTCATCAAGGCCTTCAACTTGTATGTTAGATCCAGTTCCAAGCAATCTCCTCCTCCATTTTAGATGTGATTAATCTATCTCTGTTAAAGTTTGATTACAGCAACCTGTTTAAGGTTGCTGTAATTAAACTATTACTTAAGAAACTGTGTGTTGACCCAGATGACTTGGTCAATTATAGATCTATATCAAATCCTCCTTTGTAATGTAAAATTCTTACGAAAGTAGTTGCCAATCAAGTGTGCGACCACTTGCACCATAATAAACTTTTCAAAGAGTTTCAGTCTGGCTTTAGAACTCATCATAGCACTGAAATTGCTCAGGTGAAAGTCACAAATGATATTCTCAAGGCCTCAGATAATGTATTAGTATCTCTGTATTCTTTAACCCCAGTCGGCCATTGCAGATGGCTGCTCACACTGAGCCTGGCTTTGCTGGAGGTTTCTTCCTGTTAAAATTGAGTTTTTTTTCTTTCCACTTTCGCTACAAGCATGCTTAGTGTGAGGGGTTGCCTTTGAGTCGATGAGTAGATTCAATCAGATGGTTTTGACTGTATGATGTGGTGAATTGTAAAGTGTCTTGAGATGACGTGTTGTGAATTGGCACCATATAAATAACTGAATTGAATTGCAACTGCAAGGCGTTGCAGGAATCTCGGGTTCTATTAAATAGCTGAATCAACTCTGCTTATGGCAGATAGCCCATAAATTCGTATTGGCGCAGGAATTCTATTTAGGCTTAAAAGTGATGCACGCTGGTGTATATTACCCTATTTTATCATGATAAAATGCTTTTTGGTCTTTTTAATATGGGGAGTGTTGGACTAGTGATTAGAGCTATGCGCTTGCGCTCTGAGAAAGTTGCAAGTGCCCGGTTCGATCCCCATATCCTCCTCTCTGAGTTCCTGAGCAAAATCCTTAACCCCACACTGCTCCCCAGGCACCCCAGGCACAAACTCAAGACCAGTAAGAGTTTTTTTTTAGATGTTAGTCACACCTCAGTCACTACAGAAATCTATCCATTGCCTTTTTCATGAAAAAGCAAAGCTAATAACGCTTGATTTTCTGTACTTTTCTATTTAAGATAAGGTCAAGCTGAATGTGCTTGATTTAACACCATATTCAGCATAGTAACAGTTACCATGGACATGCATATCTGTGTTCAACAAAAAAAGCAGCAACATGAAAAACAGACATCCGCCATGGAAGTAACCCTCTTTACCACAATGTCCACGATACCACCAGGAATAAGTTTAAGAAGTTTAACTTAATGTACACAGGTTGCATCTTGTGCCTCAAAGAAAACATATTGTACCAAATTATTTTGCCAACAGGTGTGTACATTGTTTGATATTATACATTTCAGAAATGTTTGCAGATGAGAAGTGCTCTGTATTGTATGATTCAAATGGGATATTTGCCAAGTGCCACGGCCACATTCCGACTGACCAGTTCCATGACGTAAGAATGTTTTTATTACACAGTTATTTCCTGAAGACATCCCTGATTAGTTGATTTGTCAACTAATGGTGATGCATTAACGCTGACCTCCTGTTCATATAACCTATTACTGCTTCTAGGCTTGCATCCAGAAAACATGCAACTGTGGGAATAATCTACAGCAATGCCTGTGTTCTTCTTTGGGAAGTTATGCTAAAGCGTGTGCTAATGTGGGTATAGATCTTGGCAACTGGAGGAGAGCCACCAACTGCAGTGAGTATTGACATTAAATATTTTTAAATATGTATTTGGTTTTTCACATCCTCTTATGTTTTTCACATTCCGAACTTTTAAAAATTCTGTGTTAAAGCTGTGAAATGTCCAACGAACCAGGAGTTCTCCTACAATGTCCGGGCATGTAATAATACATGCCTTTCGCTGTCTGGGTATGATCCTCGCTGCGAGCTGGACAGCCCTCCAGCAGAGGGATGTGGCTGTCCAGAGGGAACCCATCTGAACCAAGACGGAACCTGCGTCCCAAAGGGGCAATGCATGTGTTATCACAGTAGGGGTGTTACACCACCAGGACCTGTAGTTATTGATGGGCGACAATGGTGAGTTCATGGAAAATACTGAAAATGTTCATTCAGTGCCACAGCATTGCTTATGAATTGATTTAGGTTTGTTCATAACAAAGGATGGTATATCATGATTATTTAATTTATGTTATGTGGGATTTCCTTCAGCCTTTGAATGAGGGTACCATCAGAGGGAATGTTGTTATAATAACAATAGACAGCAATTTAAGATAATGACGTAAGGAATTATATATTTAAATATATTTTATATATTATATGTTGAAAACTGTCTACTTTGTTTTTTACAAAAAAGTAATTTTTTTTTACATGAATTCAGTTGAAATTCTATGTATATTACTCATATGTGCAGCATGTTAACATTTTAAACTGTTGCCCTAGAAGTCTGATGTGTTCAGTCGGCTTCAGTTTATTTGAACAATCTCTTGGTCTGTGGTTCCTGAGGAGTTTCAGTCATTTAGGGATATGTGTTTCAGTACTGAAGATGTGAAACAAAACTCTATTGAAATCAGAATTTGACTCTATAGAGTTATATAGAGTTATTCTGTTCAGACACATTTAGGAACGCTAAACATTTCTTCCATAGAACACATAAGTTATCAATAACAGAAGTAAAAAATGACCAAATGACTAAACAATAAGAAATTATTTTGTAGGGGGGGAGGTTTGAAAAATTGAATTTGATAGAAGATGGATTAGTTTGGAGAAAAGCTGATTAGGAATGATAAGGGGATGAATGGATGAGATGGAGAAAGAGTGCCTAAAAGGTATGGTTATGGTGCTATTGAACCTAAGTTAACATTTTTAATATGTTTATACAGACAATCATCTGATCAACTGATTGCTTCAAATATATAATAGTGGTATTAAATGTATTAATGCATATCTATTCAAATAATATTTTCCTTAAAGCCTTTGTGAGGATGGAAAACTCCACTGCTCCAAGGACTGCGGTAAATTTCCATATTATATTGTCTTATATTACTGCCAATAAAACAAAGAAATTTACTTAAGATTAATCTCTGGTATTATATCTGTGCAGCTTTTTAAAATGCAATTCTTTATTATTATCTGTTTTTCTGTGAATTTAAAATGAACCCTTGTGCATGCTTCTCACTGATCAGCTTCTTGGTATTTAACATGCTCTGGGTTAGGTTGCAGAAATGGGAAGGTTTGTGTTCACTGCTCAGAGTTTGAAGTCAACACAGCTCAGAAAACCTGCGACAGTCTCAGTAAACCTTTGGTAAGCTTTAACCTAATGACCTTCATAGCTGCATTTAACGTTGATAAAAAAAAATCTGTATTTATAATTATAGCAATTAAAGGCAGAAAAACAAACCCAAATAGAACAATGTGATTTTCCTTTCCTCAACATCATACCCAGGGTGCCAATGTGAGCTGCGAGAGTGGCTGTTACTGCCCTCTGGACCAATATGAGGATCACAATGGGAGATGCGTTCCCAGAAATAATTGCACCTGTATGTACAGTGGCAAAGTGTTCAGTGCTGGAGAGTTTGTCAAAACCAACTGTAAAACATGGTAACACTCCCTCTGCTGCACCTGCTTCACTGAAGCCCTTATAAAGACCAGAAATAATCATGTTGACATCCTTCTACCTTTTAGTACCTGTAACCAGGGCCAGTGGAGCTGCAAAGATGAGGAGGCGTGCTCAGGGAAGTGTCAGGTTTATGGAAATGGACATTACCAGACTTTTGATTCTAAATGGTTTCGCTTTGATGGACACTGTCAGTACACACTGGTAGAGGTGAGCTTCCAAGAACGTAGTGGAGCATTTTAAGATGACTTGTTTCATGTATGCTTATTTAGTATCATACTTTGCTAAAGGATTACTGCGGGAACAGAAATGGTTCCTTTTCTGTCCGAGTGGAGAGTGTGCCCTGCTGTGATGAAGCCCTCACCTGTTCTCGTACAATTATTCTAGATCTGGAGGTGGGTTCATCCTTCTATGATTAAACCAAACATCTGTATCAGATTCTTAATGCTTATACCCCAATGATTTAACCAATAATATGGGACATCTTACCATTTAACTTAAACACATTTTCACCTCAGTCACTTCACTGAAGATTTGCATGGGTATTTTTGAAATATAGAGTTTACAGTTTAGATTAAATAGTGTCTAATTGAATAATTTTCCTTTTCAGGATAAAGTCACGCTAACACTGAGTGATATGAAAGTCACCAGACACCTCAAAAGTGGTTGGACTTTGGAGCAAGAGCCCCTTTACAAGACGCACACTGTGGGACTGTATATAGTAGTCTCTGTGCCAAGCAAAGGTCTAACTCTCATTTGGGACAAAAACACAAGGATCACCATAGAACTCAATCCTGACTGGAGGGTGAGTGGCCTTGAAAAATATGACTCATTTTTATTGACTTCTGCTCTCTCAAATTTAAAGAGAACTCAGGGAATCCTGCTCAAGTTGTTCCAGGGACTTTCAACTAAATGTAAATTAGTGTGTTTTCTGAAAAATTTGTGGTTTAAAATTAATTCTTGGCAAGTTTTGCCCTTTAAAATCTTCGAAATCGAAAAAAACAACCTAATTGGGTAAAATCAATTTAAAGTAGAAGTTCAGCAAATGGTTTAGACTGTATAAAGTCAAGCCTCATAAAGCTTTCATAAAAATACATACTATATATTAAAAATGTAATGCAGCCCGGTATTCTGAGTTTGGCAAATTCATCGGATCAACTGTCCAACAAGCTTGAGAAAAGATGAGTTATCCGTTAGCGAAAGCACTGCTTTGCCATCCAGAGGCGCTGGACTGTTTGCCAGAATCATTGGTGGGTGACCAAGTCTTTCTCCAAGGTCTCACCATATTCCCTCACAGCCTCTGCAACACTTGGGGAGCAGCAAACTTGGTCTCACTGTAACTGTTTGCTGCCTAAGGAGCCCCACAAACCAACATGGCTCAATGGGATTACTTTTGGAGCTCAATGGCCAGACCAGAGATAGGGTATCTGGAGCCAACAAGTTATCTCTATGTCATGTGTTTGCTATGCCCAGCCACTGAATCAGTTGAGTCCAATCTGCACAGGTTTGCAGATTGGCTGGGCAGAACAAATGCATGACATAGAGGTGACTTGCTGGCTCCAGATCCCCCATCTCTGTCACAGACCTTATGGCCACAGCTACTGGAGGCCACTTTCACAATAGTGGGAGAGAACATGGTCTTCTCAGACCCCATGTCTTCAACCTCCCCCAAAGTCATAGAAAATATATCCTGGAAATGGGAGTTGACTACATCCCTGACTGTTCATAATGCTCATAAGTCTTCTTGCGTCTGCCAAGTTTGTCCATCTTCACCTGATTGTCCAAGACATGCAGTCAATGTACCTGAAATACAAATACAAAATCAAACCATTACTTGCATAGAATTTCAATACTGATCAGAGCTATAGGTACATTCCTCCTGATTATGCCCTTCCATATGTCACTGTCATTTCCCACATGTGCCTTGAAGTCCCCCTAGTAGACTTATGGAGTTCCCAAGATGTGACCGTCTCATCCACTGGGGTGAATTGTGACAGCAGAGCCCTGGCCCTGGTACCCAGGCTCTCTCCCTTTGGGCTACAGTAAAAGAGAGTCCAGTCTCTCAAGTCATTAAAAGAGCTTATTGAACCACTCTTTGCGGCTCATCCCCCAAAGCCTTTGTCTTGGGAGACACTACCAAGGTCATTCAAATCCTTGCACATCATCCAAGCAATAAAACTTTAAGGTAGTGGTTCATGGAGGGGCTTGTAAAAAAGCTTTAAAACTGACTAAATCAAAGCATAAAAAAAAAAAAAACCCACTGTTCTACCTCTCCGTAGCAGCTATCTATACTACACGGCTAACGTACGAAAATCTGGTACAATAACACCCGGAAATTCATCCTTTCCTGTCTTGTTTTATTGTCTTTTCCATGTTTTTATATTTTATGTTCTCTAAAATAAAACAGCCATTTGGTTGGCTACAATTAAAAAATATATATAAATGCTTTTGTTGATGCTTGTAATCTTTTTAATAACTGTAGTTAGGTTAAAGTTTTTATTAAGTTCGGAGGACTTAAATGTTCAGGTTACATGGTTTTATCAGGGGAACTATTCATTTCTATATGGGTAACTGAATAGACATGAGGATTCTCTTGGTGTACATTTTTAAGCTTCTACATATTCATTTTCCAAACAATGTCTCCTCTAGAACAAAGTCTGCGGTCTCTGTGGCAACTTCGACTCCAATGAGATGAATGACCTTCAGATAATTGGCTCAGCTGGTAAATCCATATTAAATTTTAAGCTGTTTTTCTTTTTACATTATTGTTAAGATGAAAACCCATAAAATGTATTTGCAGTGGTGAGCAGTCCACTAGCTTTTGGAAACAGTTGGAAGATCAGCACTCCTCCTTGCTCTGATGTGACCACTGAGATATTTCCATGCGAACGTCACTCCTATTGTTCTGCATGGGCCCAGCGGCGCTGTATGATCATTAAAGGAGACACATTCAGGGACTGTCATTTAACGGTTTGTCTTGCAAACGCAACATTTATCTAATTTCTATCAGTAAAGACTCTTATTGGTAAAAGATGTTTTAGGACTTTACTGGAGGCCTGTCATGTTTTTCTGGGTATTATTTAACTCTAAGGTGGATCCAGAGCCCTACTACCAAGCCTGTGTGCAGGAGTCATGTTCCTGTGAGTTTGAAGGAAAGTTCTTGGGTTTCTGCACAGCAGTGGCTGCCTATGCAGAGGCCTGCGGTGATCTGGATGTTTGCATGAACTGGAGGACACCTGATTTGTGTCGTAAGTTATAATCTGTTTGCCCATCTGAACAAATCTGTTCAATGTTTGTTTGTTAATGTCTATTTACGTATATCATATCCTTTTTATATCATATCTTTTTAACATTTTTATAATGTTTACAGTATAATGTAGTTAAAAGAAAAGTGTTAATCCAGTATTTACTATTATTTAATATTTTTTTCCTCTATCAGCTGTCTACTGTGACTACTACAATGAGCAAGGCCAGTGTAGGTGGCACTATGAATCCTGTGGAAGGATACTGACCTGTGGAACTCCCAACCATTCTAATCAAAAGTTGGAAGGTGAAAAACAATTGTACATGTATACAGTTTAAAATGAGGCCACTTTTTTATATTTTTGAAAGTTAGCGTATATGAACATTTTTAGATCTTCACAATTTAAAGATTATTGAAAGGAATTTGTTAGGGAGTGGTTGATGCCTAAAAACTCTCCAACATATCAAAAGGTGTGTTTCTTTTGTTTTATTTACCCCGAAAAAGGCTGTTACCCAAGATGCCCTAAGGAATCTCCATACTTTGATGAGAATACTGGCAGATGCACTGAATTGAGAAACTGTTCCTGCCTTTTCAATGAAACAATTGTCCCACCAGGAGAAGGAGTCATTATAGACTTCATTTTATGGTAAGTTTAAACTATCATGGAAAATACGCCACCAATAAATACAATTCACCAATGACTCAATTTTTTTTCCCCCACCCAGTACTTGTGAAAATGGAACAGTCATTTGCCGTAAGTATTTACAAATTTTGACTATGTATACAGTTCTTGCTTTGCATTTTTTGCATTTTTATTCACTTTTTATACAAATGAAAATCCAGAAAGCATTTATATTCAATTGACTGTGATGTCCCTTAAAAACCCAGTGTAACCAGATGGCTTCAGGAGTCTCCTCTTTTGTAAATCCATCATATTAAAACGGAAAGAATATGAAAAACCCCAATGCTATCAAGACATGGTTACTAACAGGTTAGGTTAAAAGCGCATCAATAAGAGTTGCATGTAATAAAAATATCCCCATCACCATCAACTTACCACCCCATGATAAAATAAGGTGGAGTTAGTATCATGCTGTGGGGATGCTGTTGTTCATTAAGAACCGAGGACCCATGGCTATTATTTACAGCCGGAGAAGGGATTTAAACATATAGCCAGTATGACATAAGAATGGTTCAGAGAAAAATACAGCAATGTGTTAGAATGGTCAAGTTAAACTGATAACCAAAATCTAATGGCAACAGAGTGTGAGGAGAGTAAAAAAATGTTATTTGGAGGTTCAACTTTTAATTGGTCTTTGACATAAAATTATTAGAAAATGTGAAGCTGTTAAATTTGCATAAACAGGGGAAAATATATATTTTCTGTAGCAAAAGATAATATTTTTTGGTCAACATAACCTTCTACTAAACTACTACCTTACTGTCAACAGCTCCTCCAACAACTTTAGCCACACTGACAACGTCTGCAACAGGTATCACTAAAAAAACATTTTTTTTCCACAAATCAAACACTTCTGGTTACAACGGCCAGCATCTTGACTACCAAATAAATGCTCACCACTGTTTCCCCTACAACAGCAACAACTTCTTTAACTTCAACCCTGGGCACTCCTGTTTCTACCCCAGCAATTACAACGTCTTCAACCACATTGCTTGGGACTACCATTTCTACAGCTACAACAACTTCTTCAACCTCAACACTGGGGACTTCTGATTCCACACCCACAATTAAAACCTCACCAAGCACTACAAAGGGGACTACTCTTTCTCCAACTACAACTTCTTCAACTGCAACGCCAAGCACTACTATTTCTACATCAGCAACAACAACATCTTCGACTGCAACCCTCGGAACTACTGTTTCTACACCAT